AGTGGCGCTTCTGTTTAATGTCATCTCCTTATTTATGGCGCTTGATTTCCTCTCTTTCCTAGTCTTTAAAGGAAAAACTTACGGCAATTTGGCAGTTGGTGTATCTAAAAGCATTACTTCACACATAAAACTCGACGACATCTACTCCATACTTCAATTTTTTCAAAATTCATCTCATATCCGTCGGAATCCGGATAATTAATTCTCAGTTAGTTTTCGAATTTAACCACTTAGTGGCGCTCCAGTTAATGTCAATTCCTTACTACAGCGCTTAATTTCTTTCTTTCCTAGTCCTAAAGGGGGAGAAAGGAGTCAGACTTAGTTAGTTATGGTGCTTATTTTACTCGTAATTTAAAAATTTTTTCCTGCTTAGGGGAATGCTGTGATTTACATCATGTTTTGCAATTACTGCAAAACATATTAGTTTATTTAACTGGTCACTTTATTATGACCTTCATTGGTCATTCTCTCCGGCGGAGAGAATGATCTCTCATTGTTTTAATGTTTTAACTTACCGACTAATTCATCTTAATTCCATATTCTTTTTATAGTTTTAACTTAGAATTAGCTACAACAAAGTAACATTTTATCAAGAAAGTTTGTTTTTCCGGCCATTTTGGAAGAGTGGGATAGCATTATGACGTAAACTCCTTTTTTCAAAATGCTTTCCGGTCAATTTTGACTACATCAAGGAAAACTCACAGAGTGATACCCTATTAAAGCTCTATAGTTGTGATATTGATTTTGAAAATATTTCAAAAAATTAATCTCAGCGTCGAGCAAAGTTGGTCCGAATTGAATGACTTTCGTTCTCGGACCCAATTAAATAATTTTACAATTTTAGTGTAATTTCAGCTACTACTACTACTAATCTTATTTTATTTGACCCATGTCAACGGATTTTTCCCGAAAAAAAACTATCTGTAATTTTGAAACATTTTTTCAAATTTTTTTTTCGAAAGATATGTTTTTCGATTCTTTCGAATGATCACGTTTGTTTCTTATATTGAAAAAAAATTGTAACTCCATAAAGTGATTAAAGTCAATAGTTTTGTTACTTAAATATATAGTAAATGCATCATCTTAGTTTTCCTATTTTCTCCAGAAACTTATCAATATTTTTTGTCCTTGTCGCCGAAAACAGTTATCAGTCAAATTTGCAGCAAAATTTTGAACCAAAGAAAACGAGAACCAACTACATTCCCATTATTCTATGAAAAAGGACTGTTGAGACAGTCCCCTTCTAGATCAAAATACACAGCTTGTTTGAGATCTATCTCTACATTTCTTTGTTCTTGTCTTTAATTCTTTGTTTGATAACCAGTTTTTCTGGTTCACCGTTTCTTTGATTGTTCTCCATCTGTTATGATACCTTCTTAAGAAGTATTTGCTAGGAGTTTGCAAATATTTCTTTTGATGTTGCTGCTTTTAAAGTCACCTGGTTTTTGATACTTTTGTTTAACCATCCAGGTGTAAAAAAAATCAAACGGCTTGAACAAGAATATCTTTTTTTTTATGGAAAAACGCTTCTTCTAAATCTCTATTAACAAAAAAATCAATCATTTATTTTTTTATGTCGCCAGGATTTCTTTCTAATTTTCTTGCTGAAATGTAAGCAAAAGATTTTCGTATATTTTAGTCTTCTTAATATTATAAGCTTTGAATCACATGGTTTCCCATAATTTTATTTTGAACAGCAATTTTCGAAATGGAAGTTTTTTTGGATCACATGGAATTTATTTCTTACAATTCATGAATAACTGTTAGAGCGTTTTTTGCTTATCATTTCAAAACCGGTCATTTAATTTTTTGGCTTCATATGCTGCTGACTTTAAACGGTCGAAATCAAATGGACCTCGTTCAGTTGGATTTATGGTAAGGCTGATAAAAAGCACATAATTTTACCAAAATTGTTTGCTGCAACTTTGAATTTACCTATTTCTCCAATTGTTTTTCAATAAAAAATGACATTAAGCAAATGCTATCTCTTAAAACAAGAGGTTTTATAATCAAACTTCCAATTTTTTCAAACTTTTATGATTGATAAAGCATTCCAGAATTCCTCCTAAGCCGTTGGATCTACAATTTTCTTGAAAAACGGATTTTCTAACAAAAACAAGACTGCTGGTATTAGATCGAAACCTTGAATATTCCCAGCGTTTTTTAGTTTCTTTGAAGTAATTTATTTAAAAAACAATGATAGATGAAACTTCTATAAAAATTGATCAAATTTCGAATTTTTTAAGGTTCTTTTAAATCATGCCCCACACGCTATATAAGGTACAAATTGATATATTTTGCATATAAGCAAAGCATTAAATAGACCAAAGAGCATGCCTCAATCCAATTAGGAACGATTTCTAAAACAGATTAAATCTTCGCTAACGACGTTACTAGTCCGAAACTTATCGCACATTTATTGTCTCGAATTGCCCCAACTGACAATCTTTAATTCCTTATAACTTTACGAAAATGATCACAGGTGAAACATTTTTTTAGTTCCGTCTTTCATAACGAAACTAACGGAAAACTTGTGCTCGGTGTGGGTTTTTTTCTTCAGACCAATTTCGACTTTTTATCTAGCCATTTTAACGTTTTAACGGAAGATTTTTTATCATTCAAAAAATTTTGTTGTACTGAGCGAAAATTTGAAAAGATGTTTCACCTATTTTTACTTTTTGTGAAGTTATAGGTTTAAAGATTGTCATTTTGGCCAATTTGGGAAAATTAACGCGCGATATCTTTCGCGCTATCAACGCGTAAGCGGAGGTTTAATCCGTCATAGTAATCGTTCCAACTTGGTTGAAGGGAGCCTACTTGCCAAAATTGAAATATTGCTAGGAGCGAAATCTATCACTTTTTTCTTTATTGGCGTGTGGGGGGATGATTTTCACAAAATATCTAATTTATAAAAAAAAATTCGGTTAATTTTATTACATTTAGTTTTTATGTTTTTATAGAACAATTTCATATAATTAATTGAGTGGTAAGACTCATTTTTACTGTCTATTTCATCTGTTTGTCTTTTCAACTGCTATGAAAAGTTTTCAACCGTTTGCATAATTTAACCAGCTTAAAATCATATCTTTCAATTTAGATACCTGATTGCTTACTTTTTTTTACTTAGTTCAAGTTTTCATGGTTTCCTATGTCCTACAAGTTATTACCAGCCAATTTAACAACGCACATTTTGAAACCTAGTAATTTCACTACTAAAAAAAATTTAAATCAATAGCATTTTCAATCGTATTTCATAACTTATCACCAAAGTTACTGCTGTATGAATTAGTTATGCTAAATCTCATCACACCAAAATTAATCTTACAATCAACGCATGCGTCACATTGAGAATTTTGGGCTATCTCAATTATACATGCTGAAATGAGGCTTCTCAAATTACTTAGGACACTTATTGACAAATTTCTATTTTTTTTTTCAATTAGACGTTTCATTAATCTATTGTGATTACTATAAAATCTCCTTGTGCTAATTCTTAACAATTTAAGGTAATTTTTCTGACAAATTAAAAATTCTGACAGTCAATTTATTCTGTACTCAAGTGATAAAAAATGCAAACACACAGTTTGATTTAAACTTCTTTCGAATGCACAGTTTTATCTAAAAACAAGCCAAGTCTTATTGCGTCTTATTACGAACTTAATTTCAAGAGGAAAAATAAGTTTACCGAAAACTGGACTTGCTCAACATACCGAATTCAAAAATAATAAACATCTGTCATAACAGTAAATGACGAACTGGTCGAGACGCGTGCAGAGCATAACCATGACATTTCAGCCGGGAAATTAGATGCTCAAAGCGTCATCAAGCATTTGAAATATCTCAGCAAAAGATACACTCCAACTGTCGCAGTTGCCTGTGCAAATTTGCCCTACCAACTGAAGATAGACAAACTGATTCAAACTGCTGAGCTTACACCCATAAATGCTGGCCTCAAATTGCCCCAAAATGCTGAGAGTTCTGGAAAAACGCTCTTCCTGGGTAGCCGATGGACACTATAAAACTAGTTCAAAAATATTGTATCAGTTATTATCAGTTCATGTTAGTGTATAGGGTATTGCCTTAGCTTGCAGATATGCATTTCGTCCCAACAAAACCGAAACAACACACGATCGTATTTTGCAGACTTTAATTGATATAGCACCCAACTACCGGCCTGAAAAAGTTTGGATACATTTTGAGCAAGCTGCTCTTCAGTTCTTCCAAAAACGATCCCTGGAGCGCGTTTGTCGAGTTGTTGTTTCTATTTCTCACAGAGTTACATGAGAAAAATCCTTGAAATGGGCCTGAAAGTCACCTACGAAATGAATCACGATTTAGCGCTGGCCTTTAAATGCTACATTCCCTTGCATTCTAAAAACAAGAAAAGGTCGGCCAGTTCTATGATTTGATCGTGTGGGAACTTCAGAATGTATGCGACAGAAACTGATTAAAACCCGAAAAATTGAAAACAAATTGACGAATTGTGTCTGTATTTTGGCTCTGCTAACTGTAATTGGATGTAGATTGTTTTTCAACAAATTCGAAAAAAACAGTCATGACCTGCTCCAAAAAGGTAAAGCTCACAATTTTAGAAAAATTATTTTTTTTAAAGAAAAAGTCTTAAAATATTGATGCAGGTATATATGCACTTTTTGAGTTATATTGAAATTCATCTGATTAAAGTGACGTAATTAGCATTCTCCAAAAATAAGCAAATGGCGCGAAAAACCATGAGCAATTTCTAGTTTCAAAAGTGGTGTTTATTTTTTAGATTTCCAGCGGAATATAAACTTTACTCCAGTTTTCTGAAGTTGGGTTAATGTTATCAAAAAAGCGCCAGTCATAAATCGTTCTAGAAATTCAAAAAGCTTCAAAGGAATCTATTTTTTTGTTGAAATTCGAAAGTTCTAAAGTCAGTGTTTTTTTGTGTTCACTTGCGTTCATTACTCTTTTCCAATCTTTGATTGGCTATGTTTGTTACTTTGTATTTGTTCATGTAGGAGTAGAGAGAATAAGAGGAAGGAGGAGGAGATAGAGGGGCTGAGGAGGAACAATGTGAAGTTGACGAGTGCGATGAGGGAGAGTGCGGCCAATGTGGAGGAGTGGAAGAAGCTGCTCCACAAGTACAGGGAGGACAGTCTCGAGGCCAAGAACAAGGTAGTAGATATAACTAGTTAATAATAATCACAATCAGTATGGTTAGGGGGAGCACTATTTCACTAAATCCTTAAATCCTTCTTTAGGTCAACTGGATTTCTTAAATGTTTTCTAAAAGTGCTTATAGCACCAATATGCATCAACATTTTCAGGGGCGAGGAGCAATTGTTTCCAGAAAATCCAAACCTTTCAAAAATTTGTCAACACGCAAGGCCATTTTTTAAGTGTTAAAAGTCTAAAATTTTGTATCCTTATTTTAAATTCAAATTTGCTCAAATAACAGTTCCAAAGTGACCACAATTTTTTTGTAACTTCAACTTCGAAAATAGTTTCCTAGCTTTCTAATCATTTAAAAATTTTTCTGGAAGATCAAGCCAAATGCAAAGCCATTTAAGGTATGAATTAAAATGATAGACTAAATTTTAGAAATTTGAATTAGAAAAATGGATCTATTAGAAGTTTAACTTAGGAGGGCTTTCCGCTGTAAATCGCTGCAAACAGACCTAAAGGGATTTTTTGTTTAGTTTACAACTCATAATTGTCAAAAAAAATTGAAGAAAACCGAATTTTTAGTTTCATGCGCTTTACGCAACGGGACCCAGTTACTATGTGAGAAAGGTACTTTTCTAGCCAAAAATCTGATTTGCTCGTCTTATTTTTTCATTTCAAATGACTTCTAGATATGGATTGGTTTAATGACTACCAAATTGGCCAAAGATCAATAGTTTAGTTCAATTGAGACAAGCACGAATACCATATTTCTTTCAAATTTTCTAACGACTGATTCGAACTGATTAACAACCCCCTTTCCCTGGTAAATGATACCTAAGCATGTAAAAGCGGAACCCTTACTCCGTTTAGTCCTTTACCCTCGTATAGGAGGGTTCAATGAATTATCTGATACAAATTGTGATCAAATAAACGAATTTTCTTTTTAATTTTTCCAATTTTCCAAACTCCAGTAGGCGCATGAACAGATTTCTGCCATTTTTGCAACTGATTAGATTGATAATAATCTCTCTCGATAATGTTATGCTTATGACTGGTAAGTACAGGGTGCATTATAACACTTGTTGACAGATAAATGGAAATTCGACTTTTCCGAGTCGCAAGACTTTTTCGCAAGATTCGAAGCCTGCTCCTTAGTTGTGGAATACGCTCAAACATGGGTCGAAAGTCAAGCCGCGAGAATCCACACGGTCAATGGTAAGAACGAGGACTTCAGACAAAAAAGTCTACTTTAAGTAGCGTCTGCTTGTTGCCTATGAAGCAGCTATAATCCTGAATTAGCTGAACACAAAAATTGATTGCTGTTTGTGTTCAGATAGCCGAGATGGAAGCCAAGCAGAAAGAGAGGGAGGAACAGTTGCGACTGAGTGCACTGGAAGACGAAAAGATCCAGAGCCTACAGAAGGAACTACAGGAGAAAGACAGGGTACCTATCGGCTAAATTGCATTTCAGTATTTCAAATCATTGATCTTTTTTTATAACTTGAGGTGACTCACGGAAACGACCGCGCGTGCTATCCAAATTGAGATAATGGCACTCAAACTGTATTCAGGTTTTCAGAGCCTCCCTTATCAAGTCACCCTAATTTCTTACGCGCAGGCGGGCAAGTTGGCAGGTGTTTTATTTTCTGTGATTGCATTCAAAGAACATGTTTTGTTGCAAAAACCACAACTTTGATTTCAAAATAGAGATGTTCTTCTCAAAACATTGGGAAGTGTGCAAAAACAGGTGCCGTGGATAAGCTTGCAGTTTTGTAATGGTTGGTCAGATTATGATGTTAAGATTTTTTGGCGCTTTAGTTCAGAGCAAATTATTCCGAAGTGGAGAATGTTGATTGCGTGTATTGTCTTAGGAAATAGCTATTCTGAACAAGGAGCTCCTCACAACCCAGAATGACAACAACAGACTCCAGATGGACAACAACCGTCTGAGAAGTCAACTGGACCAGGTAATTCAATCATTGAGAAGCGACACTTCATAATTTATTGATTCAACTGATGTTGTTTTAGAAGTGTTTTAGGTTGCTTTGGAATAGTTTCAGGTTTTATTGCAAAACTAAGTTTTTAATTCTTAAAACTTAATTTTTGTCCTTATCCTCATACCGAACAAATTTTTCCCTTGCAAGATTCTACGAGAACAATTCATCATAAATAAAAGTTTGATTTCGGCTGTGAAGATGAGGTTACTGCCGTTTTCCCGAAAAATGTTGGTGAAAGGTTTTCTACGATTTGAAAGTCCCCCATGCTATGGTTGAGCAGGCACAAACTATGAACTTCTTTATTTAAAGGGGGGGGGGGTTTCAAGCTATAAATCATGGGCTCGTTCTTAGTCAGTTAAACGTTTAAGTTAAAATCTTGCATTTAATTAATAAATTGTATTTACTTGAAAAAGTTCGGTTTGATGATTGGATTTGGGCAGCTTGACATCTAAGATTGTTTTTAGGGTAATTTAACAGGCTTTGTAGGGTTACGGTGCCCATAAGCATCGGCGCTACAAAGTTTGGCGTGGTGAACAAATCGACAATTCTGAACAGAGTTGTTCTTCATACTTTACAGCGTAATATCACGCATTTAGCCGTAATAACACGCAAAACAAACATAAAACTCGGTATTTTGAAAGGGGGGACTGGAAAAGAGCCCATAAGTTTTGTAATTTGCTGGATTCTTAAGCGAGTTTATGATTATAAAATTGTTCATGTGTTCTCGATGCGGGAGGAGTTGAATAACAAATCTGAGAATGAGGGGAAGAAGAAAAAAGAGCAGCAGGAGATGGCGTCCCAGATGAACAGCAAAATCCAGGAGCTGCAACTCATGAACGCCACTCTACAGTCAAAACTATGAATAGAATCAGTCTCTCGAATGCGTTCACGATTGTCATAGAGAGACCACTGAAATGTGATTGGTCGGTAATTGCCAGAAAATTAATTCGAATTATAATTTTATACAAAAAGACTTGCAAGAGTTCTTTACTCGCAATGATATTATTTCGGAGACGTGACCTTCGAACGATCCTCTCTCCCTTAAACCGCATTTCGGCTTAATTTAAGCAACTGAGCCCCAATTTCTCAAGTGGTTTTTAAAACGCATATTTCAGTTATAGCAGTTTTGACGTACTCGGACAATGTCGTGACTGCAGCGAATCGAACGGTTTCTGGTTGTAAGCCGAAAATATTTTGTGATCCAGATGGCCCTGTTGATAGCCGAAAGTTTTTTGTGATCCAGATGGCCAAAAAACTTAGAGTAAGCTAGGAAATAACATCAAAAGAGTAAAAAAAAACGATATCGATATTTAGAGCGTGAATCAATATTTCGACGATGACACGCAAAAAAGAGCGAGCAATTCAACTTTTTACTAATTCGAACAAAACCCTTCTTTCGCAGCCCATTGAGATATCGGGTCTCAGGTGTTTTGTGTTTAGCCCTCAGTTCAGCTGATATTTTAGATTAAAAACTTGTTTCACAGTTGTAAGCTGATGCATTTAAAGAAAGTATTCAAAATACTTTTTGTTCTCTCGTAACTTTATATACTCTAGTTTTTGTATACGATGGTAAATCAGAAATAAAATTTTCTTTTTGTTGATTTTCACGCTACAACTTAGTCCAATAGCTGGGCTGAGATCATGCAAGACAATCAACCATATAAAAGTTGCGTCGAATCAACCTTTTACTTTAACAAAAAGCTTGGCCAGTGCTGAGATTTGCGTCTTACGTTTCGACTGAAGTGCTCGAACCAAAATCCCTGGACAATGCTCCTATTGTCGAATCTAAAATCCCAAATGAGTCGTGTCGGTCGAAATCAGGTGCGCATCCAGGATTTTCTCGAGGGAGAGGCGGATTTTCAAAAAACTTTTGGTCAACTTTTTATAACAAATCATGAAGAAACATGTTCAAATGTAAAAAGATATTTTGCCCTCAAGCTTTTATTTGTTAAGAATTAGGGTCTTGAAATTTGCCATGCACTGGACTAATTTATGCGCACTGCGAAGATGTTATTTATGATGCTTAAAGAGCAACGCGAAATGTTCATGCGTAGTGAACTATATTAAACAAGACTGCTCGTATCAGGGCGAAGCCCTGAATGTTCCGACTGCCTTTTAAGGTCTATGGAGCAGTAATAGCATGGAAAATTTAAATGTAATAAAGTAAAAGTAAAATTTTTTATTTCTAAAAAGTTTGAGATGTTTTGTGAAAACATCCCCCCACACGCCATATTAAGTACAAAGTGATAGCTTTTGCTCCTATTAACAAATCAATTATGGCATATAATCTTCCTTGAACCAATTTGGAAATTGAATAGCGCGAAATATATCGCGCGTTAATTGTACCAAATTGGCCAAAATGCCAAAATGGCCATTTTTAAACCCTCAGAACTTTACGAAAAAAGATCACAGGTGAAAAATCTTTTCAATTTTAAGCTGAAGACAACAATAGCTTTCGAATGGTGTAAAAAAATTCCGTCAAAATTGGCCAGTTAAAAAGTCGAAATCTGTTTGAAGAAAAAAAAACCCACCCCGAGCACAAATATTCCGTTACTTTCGTATCGAAAGTCGGAACAATAAGACTGCTCGTATCAGGCCAAAGCTCTGGATACTCCGACGGTCCATAAAATGTTGTTATGCGTAAAAATGAATTTTAATTTGAGTTTTAAGAGTCGCGTATGGAATAAGTAAGACCAATTATAATGCCTCGATTGGATTTGGAATGATTTTGTGGTGCGGGATAATTCGCTACGCGTAAACAATGCACGTTTAACCTTCAGCATCAAAGTATCACTGCGCCCTTATAGTCACGTTAGCCTATTAGTGAGCGCTTCACAGCTATGTTGAACTCAGGATAGAGCTCTCATTCTGGGACAACGAAGATCTCCCAAGTGAGATAAATGTGAGAATTGGTCTGAATAAAAAGAAATCACCCCAAGCATATGTTATCCTTACATTCTTCAATGTTGGAACAAAAATTCGTTTCCAACCTGAATTTAGGTAAGCTAATAGATCGTGATAACTTGCTACGACTCAAACTTTGACACTTGATAAATTAATACAGTAAATTAAAGTGTTTCATATTCAAGTTTTTCAAAAAAAGGTTTCGCTTTATTGACCATAACCTAATTGGTTCCAGTTGAGCGGCAGTCAGAAAACTCAGGGCTTCACCTAGCTGTGTTTTAGGCTCTCAAAGATATCAAATACAGGAGGCTTGAATTCCACAAACAACGTTGAACAGCAATTCTTGAATAAACTCTGAAAACAACGGAGTTAGGCAAAAAGAAGAATCCGCAAACGCTGTTGAAATTTTCTCTTAGGTTCGTTGATTGGGCTTTAAAAACACCTTGGAATGCGGAGTCCTCAAAGTTTTTGGTGCTGGCAAAAACATGAAGGACAAAACCGTGACTTATACTTTTTTAGGGAATTTGAATCTTCGGCAGAAATCTTTAATATAAAAAACGTTCTTCAATTTTAATATGAAAAAATTATAGAATCTTTAATTTTTTTTGCGTATTACGCGACAGAATTTTAAGTCGTTTTTCAATTAATTATTGCTTCACTATATGCTGGCCTGGCAATGATGTCCCATTCAACAAAATTAGAATTTAAATTTAGATGGAAGAGACATCTTTTTTTTCACAAAGAAGTTTTTAAAGAGTCAGTGTTTTTTAATGATAAGCCAAATAGAAAATAATTGGTAAGTTTTTGAGACCTAAGAATATTTCGTTTGAAGTGTGAGAGTCAAATTTAAATTGTTACCACTTTGTAAATTTGATTTCAAACTGCTTTGGTTTTTAGGAAAAAAGATGATCAATAGGTTGGACTGTTTGGGTAAAAAAATGCAATACCAATAGTCACCCGCTACATGATTATTATTTTATTATTTTGTGCCAATATCGATTGCCGAATGCAGATGGCCCATATGTTTAGATTAGACAGCAAAATTGACTGACAAACAGATTCGAAATTGAGCTTCCAAAAAATCTGTGTAACGGTGTAACAATTATTAACAAATTTCCACAAATTTCCGGTCAATATATTTTAATTTGCAATATTTTTTTACAAATTTTTTAATTGCACTTAAATTTTAGCGACTGGAAAAACTGTAGGTTGTCTTTCAAAGAATCATTCATCAAAGAATCAGCAAGTTATAGCTTGAATACTTTAGTTGCCAAATGTTTTTTTCTTTTTGTGAGGAAACTATGACGTAGGGTGTGCTTGTTCGTCCCAATTATAATTACCGCATGAAAATTATTAGCGGCCCAAGTTTTGTATCATTTTTGAACATCTGAACCATAGTTTGGATTCCAGACAAAATTCTTACACCGCTGAAAAAAAGTAATATAAATATATATTTTCATTTAGACTAGTTTACCGACAATAGAAAGGAGTTACTCTCAATCTGATGGCTGCTTTTAGTTTGTTTTGCTTGTTTTTTAAAATGCTTCGCCAAATATGTTGAAGAAAAAAAACAAAAGTTGAAAATTTTGTAGCAGAATTTTTTTTCCGGAGTGATTGCTCTAATTTGACTATATGGGCTGCCTGCATAGTAATGGATACAGCGTTTTATAACTTGCTCATTCAGTTTACTTAATAATTAAATCTTTTCTTAGAGAGAGAGAGAGAGAGAGAAAAAGAGAGAGAGAGAGAGAGAGAGAGAAAGAGAGAGAGGAGATGAGAGAGAGAGAGAGAGAGAGAGAGAGAGAGGAGATGACAGAGAGAGAGAGAGAGAGAGAGAAAGAGAGAGAGAGAGAGAGAGAGAGAGGAGAAAGAGAGAGAGAGAGAGAGAGAGAGAGAGAGGAGTTTCATTTGTTTTGTTTGGATGTCTGAGTTTTTAGTGTACTCAAAAACAAAAACAGAAGCTATAGAGTTTTGATATTCGGACGTTTTTCCAGACATAAGCTATCCATTGCTGCTTAAATTTTATGTGGTTTTTTGCTTAAATTTGATTTTATTTTATTTGTGCAAAATTTTTTTCAGCTTTAGACAATCGAATTCCCGTATTGAGTGCTATGAGTGCTAGCCCTTCTTGCGGATCCTTATTTTTTGAGAAAAAGTCTTAGCGGAAAAAATCATAACTCTCTTTTTTTTTATTTGCCCGATCCATCAAATTGAGTTCCCAAATTCTTACAATTTAAAAAAGATCAAATTTGCCATTACTCTGAACAGTCCCTGATTCCGATTAATGAGTGCTTCTGGCCATTTTTATCTGACAGCAACAAACTATCGTTGATTGCAATGGTCCTCAAAGGAAACCTGTACACGATCTTGATATGCAGTGCTAATCTATATCATCCGGATAATGTTTGAAATTTAAAAAAGAGCTGATCTCAAATTGAGATGATTTTGGACCAAAACTGATAAATTCTCAGCAGAAAAAGGAAGGTGCGAAATTCGGGCTGAACGGTTTGCCCCATAACGTATTTTTGTCAATCAAATATTAGGTCACTACTAATAGTTAAATTCAGGGGCGGATCTAGGATTTTCTCCGGATCTAGGATTTTCTCGCAAGGGGGGGGTTTCAAAAATTTTCCAAAAATTTTGTTGACCTTTTTTTTCAGGTCGACCGAATTCATTTTTCGAGCTCTCCCTAAGCACAATTTAGTCCCTGTATTGGCCAAATTTTCTGCGCCGCATGCCAAATTTTGAAAAAAAGTCCCGTTTATAGGGACTTTTTGGAAAATTTTGATCAAAAAATTGCGTTTTTTCAGCGCGCGCTCCCCCCTCAAAATTAAAAAATATTGACGCCGAAGGCACTTTTAGAAAAATTTAAAGGTCGGCTGGAAAAAAATGATTTCTTAAAAAGGACCCCCCCCCCCCCCCAAATCCGCCCCTGGTTAAATTATTGACAAAACTATATCAAAGTGAGCCTATTATGAACTTCAACAAAAAGTAAGGGTGGTATTATTCTCAATTATTTGTATTGTTATTTTTAAATTATAAATATTAAACGTTTTGTTCAAATTTTTGAAGATTATGTCCTCTATAAAGTTTTTGGCTACAAAACAGGTCATTTTGATATATTTTGTCTGCAATTGAATCTGTTTTGATTGATTAAAAAAAATCAAAAAAAATCGTTTTGGGCCCTATCTATGCAAAATAAATTGCATCTTCGTACTAATGCCAGGGGGAGGGCGGTTAATTCATCATTCTGCTATAAATCAGACTCAATGAATTTTGTCATAACAATTGGTTCAAACTCAGTACACCACACGAACAAGCACACGATGGAATTTGAATTTAAGTAGAAAAAAGAAACTCTATAATTCCGTTTTACTTTT